CTGCATCATGAGATCCTCCCTTCCGAAGCAAGTGCAAATAAAACTTCAGGCAAGAATTAGTCAGAGAAAGACATTCCCATCAACAGACTCAAAGGAACTCTAAGTAGGTACCTGAATTAATATCTACCTATACTATTAAAAAGAAAAGGATACAATTAAAATTTCACTCAAATTACTAGCTAAATTAGTAATTGATATTCAAGTATTCCTTCACTCAAGAGGAAACTAAAGACTAGTACTTCTCTCCCTTTTTAACTACATGCTTATGTAGTTAAAATAAATTTTGGTCTATTATAAAATCAGAAAAGACTCATGCTTTCAATAAAGAAAAGATAAATGAAAATCAAAATTCTATACAAAGCAAGGATAAAGGAGAAGAAAGCACAAGAACAGAAGGAAATGAGGAAAGCAAGCATGCAGCAGCTAAACAGAGGGCTCAACGTAGAAATTCAAAAGCAAATGCTGGATAGTAATTCCAAGGCATTTATAAGTTAATACAAAAAAATAAAACTACCAGTTAAGAACAAAGATTATCAAGCTATAAACAAAGCATATTATTACTTGTGGTAGGCAAGCACAGCTACACACACTAATATGAGCGAATGTAGGAATAGTGAAGGAAAACATAACCTGTAGATAGATCTGTAGAAGAGAAATCCACTTCAGTCATGCTAGAAAAGACAAAGAAAGAAAGACAAGTCATCAGATTGGTGAAACAGCTTCATTATTAGAGGAGCTTGGGATCCCCAAATCCCAAAAGATGGCAGGAAAGAACCAACTCCAGAGATGACACTGACCTCCACACAGGATTGTGGCTGCATGTGCCCATGTTCAAATGTCACACACAGTCACGAGGGGAATAAAATTTTTAAAATGAGTTAAACCAAGTTATATGAATAGTGAAAATGCAGTGGAAAGAAAAGGAATGGCAAATTCAAATATCAGGACAGAACTTGCCACAGGCCAGGGGTATATGATTGTTTTTTCTAGGGATATGAACTTTTCAAGGCTACAATAGTGCATAAACCAACCCTGTTGGTAGGTGTTTTATTATAGCTACAAGTCCTTTCAATATTTTTAATATTTTGCTTTTAAAAAATTAAAACAGATCAAATATACTAGTGATGTCAAAACCTTTGTCTTAAAGACTTCTTCAGATCATGTTGGTCCCAGTGAGCACACTGCTTGCCACCAGCTTTAAACACTAAGGGAACATGCTTTGTGTTACCTAGCCAAGAATGTTAACAAACAAGACTATGGAATTAACACTCAACGCACTAAATAATGATAAACAAACATGTTTACTTGTTTAGGTGGAAACATATTTTCCTGTAAAATTCACTGAAATGATTTTGTCAAAGTTTTATCAAGACTATAAAACCTACCTTTTAAATAGACTAACAAAATGTCTACTAAATGAGAAAACAACTCTTATAAAACTGAAAAGGCACAATGTATATACAAAAAAAAAATGATTTCATTATACTGAGTACACTTGACAGGCACACCAAAATTAGAAAACAAAGATGCATCCTATAGCTAATCTGACATATGTATAAGTGGGTAAGAACTATAAATGCTTGAAATCAATCATAATGATGTTAGTGTCTACCTGTTTCTGCTTTTACCCAATGTACTCAATCACTCAAATAGAACTACTGTCAAGATTCACTGAAAGTTATATTTGGTAATTTGAAAAAATTAATCGTTTCACTAGTGTTCAAAACTAGCTACAAACTGTCACAAAGAATACTGAATAATCAATGAACTTCCTCAAACAGAAGAGCTTTACAGACTTCACATCAAATCTTCATAAAAATGAGGCAAAGGAGCAGGTCTCTAATACCTGGTTTTCACATACTTCCCTATCTGCATGATGAAAGATTAATATTTCTTCTGTTTGTCAAGCAGTTTCCATAATTTGATGAGCAGTTCTGAGAAATTCCATGGCCAGGTTGGGGGAGGCAGGACTAATTTGAATGGCAGAATGGCTAGATTTCCCTAAATTTGGTTTAACTAAATTCTAATTCTGAAGCAGTACTGTAGACAAACCGTTGATCAGTTCACTGTACTTTATCCATAGCATTCAAGAATTTTAAGTTCTGTGTGGAGACAAACATTTATAAACTTAGAACTTGGGAGCCCGAAGCAGGAAGATTGCAAGTTCCAGGATAGCTAGACCCCATCTAAACTAATAAGAAAACATACCACCACAACAGGAGGAGACTCATATCTGTCCAGTGAAAGCTGACATCTAATAATGATCCAAAGCGCTTAACTGGATGAGTCACATGCTGTGTGGACAGAAGCAGTCATGGAAAGCTGACTTTCTGGGCACATCAATCTGACAGCTCATACAAGGAAAGACCGAAGAGCTGGTCATGGGCATACAGCCAAGTGTTACAAGGCATTCCTCTAGTGAAAGATGGGGAGAACAGATAATCTAGAAAATTCTCCTAGAAAGATTGTTCCATCGAGATTATTAATTATTTTCACTTAAAAGAACTTCATAGAAATATAGTAAATTGCAATAATACGCCACAAAAATCTCTGTACCCAGGGAAAAAAATGTCTACAAGTATTTAATGGTATTTTAATGATTTTCTTTGAATGAGAATACAGAATATAATTTCTCAGTATTTTGAGGTAAAATCTCAACAGGTTATCTAACTCATCATATATGCACAGATTTCTACAAACCCTTTCACTTTTATCTCCTCTGCTGTCTGCATCATCTAGGGGGAAGAAGCTGTTGGGTGAATAGTTACACTGGGAAAGCAGCCAGCACATCATCAGTGACCCATCATGCTGGACTTTAATCTACCTTTTCTACTGAAAACATACGAAGACTCCCTGGTTCCCTGTGCCTAACATAAGAAGACATGCGTGTAGTTATCTCCCTTATTTACCTCAAAACATCCTTTAACTCCAATTAAACACCATAGAAACAGGGATGTCTTTCTCAAGCCACACTCTCAATACAGCACTTGAGAACAGAGTAGATTCTTAATAAATATTTGTGTGTTTGTGCATGGTACATTCTGCACGTGCATACACATGTATATAGGTGTACAAGCACATACTGTGCACACACCACAAGTTCATTTCAGGTGTCTTATTCAAATCAGTCTCCACCTTATTTGTGGAGACAAAGTCTCTCGCTGAACCCAAAGCTTGCCATTTTGTCTAAACTGGTTGCCCAGAAATCTGTGGAGGTGCTCTTGGTTCTAAATCTTCAGTGACCACATCCTGTCTTTTACATGGGCGTTGGGAATCCTAACTCAGGCCCCATACTTGAATGCCAAACACATTACTAACGATGTCATCTCCCCAGGCTCTAATAAACATGCTTAAATCTATATGTTTTACAAGTATAAATTGAGCTAGACACAAGTTACTCATTTTATAAATATATCTATTAAACTCTCTATTCAGTCTCTTTGTAATAATGAACAAGCTAAAACAAGACAAAAAAGGGACAGTTAAGTTAAGCTTCATTTTTTTCAGTCAACAACTCTCTTCCATTTCCCACATGTTTGAGAACAGACTGATGAAGAGCATGAACAGCATATAGGAAACCCTTCATCCCCCAGCCATCTTTAGGCCACAGTCTAACAAACACAGCAGAAGAAAAACCCCATAAAACTGAACTATATGATTGTGTGGTTACTATTTGTCCCTATTCGCCTGCATGTCTTAAAACATAAGACTTTGGTATCAAATATTTTTGCGTACAAAGACTTTCTCCTCTTACAGTCGAACCTAAATATGTCCAAAAAAGTACTTATCACAGAGAATACTCAAGGACGTTATTCCTTATACCAACACCAACCAACTGCACTATTCCATCACGGCTTTCCACTTTTTTACTCATATTGTGGACATAAATATCAAAAAAAACAACTAATTACATAACAAAAAGCCAATGATCACCTTTCTCAGATGCATTTTAAGACTCTGACCACTCAAACCTTTACTGACAACTGCTTAAGTTATTGCAAGGATATTCTAGTAAAGACAACCACCTAATTCAGAGTTAGCATAAAGTTTCTATGAAAACTGAATTCTGTCCTGTTAATTAAGCATAATTTTAAATGGGGTCAGTTTGTCACCATTACTTTGCCTTTTAAATGTTTAACACAATACACCTCAAATCAAAATTTCTCAATGGCACCAAAATGTAGCCCAGTCTGAAAATATGGAAATTTGATCTGTAGAAAAAGATATGGTATGGATGTCACATAAAAGATGCCCTGCTAAATTTGGATTTCAGATGAGTTTTGTTGTTTTGGTTTTGTTTGGTTTTGTTGGTTGGCTGCTTAGTAAGCTTAAAATTCTAACTTGATTTTACACCCTACCTTCTTGTATTTGTTAAATATAGCAGCATTAATCTATGGCCATTTTAAAAAGAGGGAAATAATGAACAAGTGGTATGCCTAGCTGTGCCAAATAAGAATCAGCATGCATTTTAACAATATGAAAGTAAAACATTCATATTAAATTGATAAATTTTTATTATGATTGTTCTCTCACAAAATAAGTTTTTAAGAACTTTATAAAACTGTTTTAAGTCCGTCAGCTATGATTTTCTCACTAAGTGAGACCTTTTGTTTATGAATATATTTTATATTCTTTCCCTAATAATTTTTTTTTAATTTGAGACAATATTATTGCACCATTTCTTCCTTCCCTTTCATCCCAACCAAACTTTCTCATGACCAAGCCCCTTGCTCTCTTTCAAATTCAAGGCTTTCTTCTTTTGTTACATAGGTGTGTGAGTGTGTGTGTAAGTGGGTGTGTGTTCCTAAAAACATAATTCAAAATGCTTAGTCTGTATGTTACTTGTATGTATGTTTTCACAGTGACCATTTGGTATGGGTTTTTACATTGAGAAACTGGTAATTTATACTAGCTATTTGAATTTGAACTAAATAAAAATGGCATTGATGATGTGCGTTCAATTAAGTAACGTACTACAGTGACATCCAGATTTGAGTTACCTCACAGGATTACTGGTCAATGATACTCGCAGTGACTCCAGATATGTGAAAAGTCTCTCGTCTGTGTACCCCATTTTCAGCTCATGGATAAATTCCTGGGGTGAGATCTGTCGGCTACTTCTAAGACTTCCCTGTAAAACAAATCAAAAGAAAGTTTTTTAACTCATGTTCCATGAAGATTATCTGTAAAATATGAAAATCATCACACCTTTCCTAGTGACAGCTAGATACAACTAACAATATTACTATTTTGATGTGATATTAATCATTATTCTAACTAAAAAACTATAAATTCATAAGTTTATTCACAAATGATTTTTAAAAAGACCACTGAACGTTTTGAGAATGACAATAATTGTTTTATCAAATGTAACATGTCATGGAGAGTTATTAAGTACATACCATTAGAAACATAATAAAGTAACATTTAGGCACATTTGACTATTGAAACTCAATAAAAAAAAATAATTATTTTCATTCTCAAGACCCTCAATGTATTTTTTAATGTCATTAGTGAATCTCAAGACATCCTCTGACCAACAATTCAATAAGAGGTACCCAATTTGGTTTTAAATTTGGCAAATCTATAGCTTCTAGTATAAGTATAAAGCCCTGTGCAAGGTAACTCCAAGGAAACATATATGTGAAAAAAATTTATGTGTGTGTGTGTGTGTGCGCGCATAAAGCTCAATTCCAATATCCTTTTGTAAACACCCTAACGTTAGTCATCCTTTCCTGTCCTGCCCCACTAATCTTCCCACCTAAACCTCCTGTCTTTTTATTCTCCTTTCCCATTCTTCTCTATTGTTCCATCATACACACCCCACCCGTTAAGATCATTCTCGCTCCTGCCCACAAATGGTTCCTTTCTACTTGGCTGGTTCTACAGTTACTCCATATTGCACACATATACAAACACACACACACACACACTCACAAATTACACAGTAATACTTAAAACAATAGCAAAGCATGTACAAAGAAAAAATAATCAACTGATGAAAAAAGACATACAATAAACTAACTGGTAAAGTCCCACTATACTCTTAATATTCCAAGAGGGATTTTGGAAAAATCTAGTGTATATAAAATATGGCTTCAAAGACCTAGAATTCTTTCATTACTTGAAACACATGACATGCCTACTAAATGTGAGCACATCATATCCGTGTGGTTTTAATTGTTGAGAAGGCTAGCACACCTTTGGGTACAATCCCCAGTACCATCAAATACACACACACACACACACACACACCCTGTACTATAAATAGTAAGAACATTAGTGAGAAAAATAAGCAGATAGGAGAAACAAGCATAGTATGACACATACAATTTTGACTACGGTGATCAGTGAAAGCCCCACAAGTGAGAATTCAAAGGCCTCTGTCATGCCTGGTGGAATTAGAGTCTAAGGAAACAAAAGAGCTGGCTCTGGGGCTGAAAGATTCCAGGCTACTAAAATAGCTTGAAAATGCTATGGATATACAACCTAAGATCAACAGCAGAGACCTGTTCAGAAGATACGAATGGATTCCAGATCAGAAATGAGAAAGACATCAAGGTAACAATAAGGAAAACTCTGAGATTAGATGTACAAAGAAAAGGAATTGAGCACATTCAAAAACAAGTTAAAAATCTAGTACTTCCTTTTGTCTGTTTCTTTTGCTATATTAATTTGCCAAAACATTATGCAATAAGACATAACTAGCAATGAAAGGCAAATTTCTTTTAGGGAAACTGTTTTTACTCTTGATGATATCAAAGAACAATACCTACTCACTAGAACTCACTATGCTATATACTATAATATTCATCATATCTACTCACTATAACTGTATCTAAAATCTCAGAGACTTATTCTCAAAATAGAATAAAAGGCTCATTCTCTCATTTACGTATCAGTTCTAGAGCTGACTGGGATAACAAAGTGAAGTGGTGGATGAATCTTCTCTGTAGGGAAGTCATTAAAGACAATGCTGCTGCTTAGTTACAGGAAGAAAAATCAATGAGCTAAAAAGCCAAATCTCCTAGAAATAAGGAAGACTATTAGCAAATGTTAACATCTCTGTGTGATGCACCCTAGTAGAGCAGCAGCCCATTCTAACTAATTCACAAGTTCTTTGCAAGATGCCTGCACTCAGTGAATGGATGTGGTTACAATAAAATGCAAATAAAAGAATAGAAATAAGAACAGAAAAGGAAATCAATCACCCAGAAAATATCCATATTACATGCAAGAGATTATGAAGCAAATGCTTACTTAGCAACATTTCAGATAAAGTACAGGAAAGAAACCAACTAATCAGGAAATTAATTTAAAAAACAACTTCCCTACCAAAATAAAAATAAAAGTATAAAGGAAATAAAATTGAGAGGGAGGAAAATGTATAAAGAAAGAGAAAGCCTCTTTCTCATCCCAGGTCTCCAGTTCCTTTCATTTCACCTAACTTCAAAGGAAGCGGAGGGTAGAGGGAGATGGGAAGGATGCTTGCTGCCGCATATCTTGAAATCCATTAGCCATAAAGATGAAAATACTTGAAAAGCTTTATCCCCTGTGGTATCAAAACACATTAGTGAGATAAGGATGTCTGCCTGACATCACAAAAATTAGAAGGATATTTATCCCACATAATTTTTAAATCTTTTTAATCCCTTGGTAAAATTTATTCTAGAATACCAAATGCAAGATGGAGAAAAGTACAGAGATTATGCTGTTCATATTCTTTACTAAGGATATCCAAGGGCATAAAAGGTAACAAGCACACATTTATTCATACTCCTACCTTTGCTATTCATCGACACCCAAGCAGTCTCGTTCTTGCTAAGTGACTATTAAAGGTAATAGTAGCCATTTCCTTTGACCTGTCTTGACCAGATTCTTTTGTTCCTGCCTGAGGACCTCCCTCCTTTCATCTCAGCTTAGCTAAAAGGCAAATTCACTAGCCTAGATCATTTCTTTGTACAGTAAGTCAGAATCCCATGTCTGACAAAATAGCCATGTACAGTTACCAGTGGAGAGTAGTCACCGAGTGGCCTGCTCACCTCTGTCAAACAATTCAATGATTTTTATACAACTTTGAAGAAGCTATCATTTAATGCTGACTTATTTTTTAAATTATGAAGAGAAAATTCATGGTCTAGATATATATACAAACTATGCAGAGAAATGGCACCTGGAAATGACAGCAAGGACTCATCCCTGACCTCTGTGTACCGAATACTGTTCAATATGATGGCTTCTAACAACCGGAGACACACTTCCACAGCTGCTGCTCGCTCTTTTCCTCACTAAAACATCCCTCAATTCTCAGTGAAAATACCCAAAATTCACCTTGTAGCATTCTCCATTGTACGTAATACACTAGTCTTTTAACTTTCCTTAGAAGAGTGCCAATTTTAAATATAAATATCCAAAATATATAGCAGCTAAAGATTAACAAAATCAAAACTTAGGTGACAAATACAAACAGGCTGAGGTAAAGTTAGTTATTAGAATAAGCCCTTCTCTTTGTCACGCACTTTATATTTTAAAGCAGGAAAAGTAAAAAAAGAAAGCAGCCATTGATATCAGTAGAATACATGTAATGCCCAATTCTTCAGTGTGTTCCATAGCTGCATATATCTACCCCTAGGACTTCTAAGTCCATAACCATAAGTTAACTAGCTCTGTTCCTTCAGTCTTACATTTTTTTTAATTCCAGATATATAGATAGATAGATCCCAATACCAAGAATAATTTTAATGAGTTTATGTTAATAATTTAAGAAGAGGGCAGAGTTACCACAAGGGTAGTCAGCACATCACTGTCAAGAGGATAACTACGACCTAACTACTACCATGTATGCTATTATTCAAATGTATTGGAATAATTCTCTTGAATTTTTAAATAATTTCAAGCATGTCTAATGTCACTGACCAACAGAAACACTAAGGTGTGTCAGCAGCATAAATTACTCATTTTCGGGACATCTACAATTCAAATCAACTTGTAGGATCAATAATATCTGTTAACCTCACATGATTTTATACAGACTCAAAACAGAAACATGGAAGCTAAAAGTACCAGAGACAGATCACTGAGCACCCAAACTACATTTCATAAGAATCTCCCTTGTTAAATCAAGCATTTAATGAGCAGTATCGTATATCAAAACCCTGCCTATAGCTCTTGACACCTGTTTACCTATATATTTAAAATAGCACATGTTGGGGCTAGAGAGGCAGCCCAGCAGTTAAGAGCACATCATGTTCTTGCAGAGAACTTGAGTTCAGTGCCAGCATTCACATCAGGTGCTCACAGCCAACTGCAACACGAGCTCCAGGAGACCCACCATCACTGAACTCTACAGGCAGCTGCACTCATGTACACTTACCCACACTGATGCACACTACACATGAGTAAAATTACTTAAAATACTTTTTTAAAATAGTGCGTGCTAAAAGTTTAGAATTACCAAGTAAAAGTTACAAAGATATATAATAATAACAAAGGTGCCTGTTTAGTTTCTAAATACTCCACAAAGAAAAATGTTAAAGCCGAACAAACCAATTTAATTTTAGAAAATTATATGTTAATTTGAATCAATCTTTAAAAATTCAACACACTATAGTTTCATTATCTATCAGTACTTACAATACAACCTCTATTGTACATGTTTTCTACATTGGCCATTACCTTCAATAATATACTTATTTCTTCCCTATGTGTGTATTTCTTTCTTTGCCTATTTGTATACATGTCCGAATGTGCGCATGTGTTTGGGTGGTGGCATTTGTCTGATCAGGTGCACATCATTCTCAGCATCTTCCTTGATTGCTCTCCATCTTCAACATGATTAGGGTCCCTTGATGAATGTGAGACACTGATTCCAACACTCAACATACAGAGTCTACCCTGGGGATACTCGTCTCTGTCTGCTGCACTAGCACAGGACTACAGCTGTGCTACTGTGTCTAGCTTGCTTTTTAAGTGACCACTGGGGATCCAAATTCCTGTTCCTTATCTTCAAACGTGCATGGGAAAAACCTGCTGAGCTATCTCCCTAGCCCTACCAATTTCTTCATACACACACACACACACACACACACAAGTGTGTAGTTTATACAGGAGAGATGCCGGCCAGGAGTCAGA